GAATTATGATTTGAAAAGATAAAATTTGTTTCGTTATGAGTTTTGAATTGAGTTTTAGAGGGAGTTTTGAAATTAGAAAAGTTTTTTGATTAAAAAACTTACAATTCATAACCAAACACACAATCCAAAATTCATAAAAAAATTTAAAAAATTTTGAAAAATATTTTTTATTTAAAATATAAAAAAAAATAACAGGTACCAATTGTCAAAAAAAAAAAACACAAATATTGTTTCAGTCAAACGGCCGAATGTCTGGGGAATATTCGGAAGATTACCAGATAGACATGTTTTCAAAAATGAGTGTAGAATCAATTTTTAAAAACTCTAATCAAACAACACACCCAAACCAGAAAATGAAATATAGTTTTGAAATCTCCAACAATCTAGAGCTATATGCCTCACGATTCCGCTAACAACCATGGTAAGAATTCCGATGATATCTATCACAAATCTAAGCAATTCAGACAATTGCGATAAGTTTGGGTTTCAAATTGAGGCCAAGTTTGGGAAGACTAAATAAGTGCACTTTTTGACTTTTTTTATATTATGTGTAGAAAAAGTAAAGAGGAGATATTGATTGATGTGACCCAAAAAAGATAAAAAGATGAAATAAGTGTACTTTTTTAGATTAGCCAAACTTGACCTGAGACTAGTTTAGACAATTTCTCAATTTGTCTTATCTGAAAATTTAAATAAAATGTTAGAGATGTCAAAAATTTTATTAAAAGTTTTAACAAATCACAGAACTCATATTGTGTAGGTCTCACACCCATGTGAAACATTTGACAGAAATTTTTGTAGAATTTTTTTGGGTGTCTACCATTACTCAAACTTAAAATAAAAATAAAAAAGAAGGGTTAGGAGCCTTGTCCCAATTTCCAGTTCACACGTCTCTGTCTGTCAGATTCTTTTCGTATTGGCACGTGTCCATGCAATATAAATGCGGAAAACCCTTTCTGCGTATCTCTCTCTCCCATTTTCTTCAACCAGTTTGCTCCGCCTCGGCCACAGTACTCTCTCTCTCTCTCGCTCTCTTTCAAAATCTGTATCATCCTAGAATTTTGACGCTTTTAAAGTCTGTATCGGAATTTTGTAACAGGGATTCGAAGTAGAAATAGAAGCAACCATGATACGAGGAGGTTGACAGAGACCACCACCACCCAAGTAAAGATTTCTTCTTTGATCTTTCATTTCACTTTATCACTTTATTTATTTATTTTTAATTTTTTTTTTTTAGGAGGTATCGGAATAATGTGAGTTTTTGGTACTATGAATGTGGAACATCTTGAGGGCAAAAAATTGCTCTCCTTTTAGGAAAAATAAAACTTCTTCAACAGTTTAAATTATATGAAATTTTGTTGAAATTTGGCAATGATGTTTGTGATTGTGAATTATATCAAGTTTACATTTCCTGTTCCTCATTTCAGGTAATCAGTTAGGCAGGAATTTGGCATTGACACTGTGATCTGCACACTTCACACAGTTTATTTTCCACTTAAAATATCCTTAACTTTAGTTTATTTTGATAAAAAAATGTTTTTTACATAATTTTTTTTTAGAACTTATTTTTTGTAAAGGGGTGGGTTGGAGGCAGCGGCTATGGTGGGTTGTTGTGATGGTGATGTGGTGGCATTGATAGGAGTTTAATTCAGAAAACATTTTTTATATTTTTCAAAGTGGAAAAAAATAATAGTAAATTATAAATATACCTCCTGAGGTTTGTTTAAAATACAGATTGGTTTTTGTGATTTGAAAAATTACAAATACTCCCTTATTAGAATTTTTTATTTAACAAAATTAACTGAAAAAATAAAATTCATAATTCCACTCCTATACAATAATAAAATTACTTAAATTATTAATTGAAACATATTTTTAACATCATTAAAAATTGTTAATGGACTTGATGATTTATTAATAAAATGAGCAATTTGTTATGAAATTAGAAATTTCATGAGTGGAATGTAATTTTCAAAATCACATGGGGCGATTCATATTTTAATAAAAATCTCAAGAAATGTATTTATAATTTACCCAAAAGAGAACTATTTAGAGTTTAAAAAAATTCTCCAAAAACATTTATGTACTCCTCACCCGATTGAGCATAACACCTTTCTGGTTTGATGTTTTCCAAACTCAAATCCTTTTTGACTGGTGACCAATTCAAGTAGATTAATTCCAAAAAAGTGTTTGGTAGAGTTTTAGAATTATGATTTGATAATAGAGTTGTATTTTGAGTTTATGAGTTTTGGAATTATGATTTGAAAAAATAAAATTTGTTTTGTCATGAGTTTTGAATTGAGTTTTAGAGGGAGTTTTGAAATTAGAAAAGTTTTTTGATTAAAAAACTTACAATTCATAACCAAACACACAATCCAAAATTCATAAAAAAATTTAAAAAATTTTGAAAAATATTTTTTATTTAAAATATAAAAAAAATAACAGGTACCAATTGTCAAAAAAAAAAAAAACACAAATATTGTTTCAGTCAAACGGCCGAATGTCTAGGGAATATTCGGAAGATTACCAGATAGACATGTTTTCAAAAATGAGTGTAGAATCAATTTTTAAAAACTCTAATCAAACAACACACCCAAACCAGAAAATGAAATATAGTTTTGAAATCTCCAACAATCTAGAGCTATATGCCTCACAATTCCGCTAACAACCATGGTAAGAATTCCGATGATATCTATCACAAATCTAAGCAATTCAGACAATTGCGATAAGTTTGGGTTTCAAATTGAGACTAGCTTAGACAATTTCTCAATCTGTCTTATCTGAAAATTTAAATAAAAATGTTAGAGATGTCAAAAATTTTATTAAAAATTTTAGCAAATCACAGAACTCATATTGTGTAGGTCCCACATCCATGTCAAACATTTGATAGAAATTTTTATAGAATTTTTTTGGGTGTCTACCATTACTCAAACTTAAAATAAAAATAAAAAAGAAGGGTTAGGAGCCTTGTCCCAATTTCCAGTTCACACGTCTCTGTCTGTCAGATTCTTTTCGTATTGGCACGTGTCCATGCAATATAAATACGGAAAACCCTTTCTGCGTATCTCTCTCTCCCATTTTCTTCAACCAGTTTGCTCTGCCTCGGCCACAGTACTCTCTCTCTCTCTCTCTCTCTCTGTCTCTCTCTCTCTTTCAAAATCTGTATCATCCTAGAATTTTGACGATTTTGAAGTCTGTATCGGAATTTTGTAACAGGGATTCGAAGTAGAAATAGAAGCAACCATGATACGAGGAGGTTGACAGAGACCACCACCACCCAAGTAAAGATTTCTTCTTTGATCTTTCATTTCACTTTATCACTTTATTTATTTATTTTTAAATTTTTTTTTTAGGAGGTATCGGAATAATGTGAGTTTTTGGTACTATAAACATGCATTTCATATTGATTTGATGATGTATTTTTTAATCCCAAACATTCAAATTCTTAGAATAAGTACAACAGACAACTCATCTATGTTTTTCAGCTAAAATAATGAATAATTAATCAAAAAAATTAACTCTAACAAATTCACTAGTACAATCGCCATTTTTAGGGAGATTCTATAGTAACTTGCCAAATGTAGCAAGTCGTTGCATGTATGCCTAAATATAGGGCAAATTACACTTCATTGCCCCGTGTCTCTTTATCCTAACAAAAAATTTGCAACACTAGACCCCTTTCATCTACTAAATTTTTCAATCAATGGAGTGCATGTGAGAATTGTGTCATTTTCATCTACTAAACCTCAATGCCATTCCTTCATTGTTGACTGTGAGAGGTTAATTAGCTCCATTCAACTCTCTCTCTCTCTCTGTTTTTGTATGTTTGAACTAGTTTTTGGTACAATTTTTAAGGGTGTTTTTTGTCAAGTTCAAATTAATGTGAATCGCTTTGGTTCTTTGAAGTTCAATGTTGATGCAAAAAGGACACTTGAGATGGATCCAAATGGGACTTCAAAGAAAGATACATGAATCTAAATTGTATGCCCACCAAGAATAGTCATCTTGAATCTTTGTTCTAAGTTGTAACACACATCTTTTGAGGTGGTCCAGGTCTGTCTAAAGTCATATTTGTCTAAGAAAAAAAAAAAACTTGGAACATTGAAGTCCTTGATTGTAATTTGCTTATAGAAATTGTGAACCGCCCTAAATTTGTAAATTTTTGTGTTGTTTATTTATAATTGGGCAAACTTCACTTTATCACTATGGTTTGGGCCGGGTGCGAATTACCCCCTCTGACATTCGGAAATCACCACAGAACCCTTATGTGGCTTGTGGATTAAAACGCACACTAACTTCTGTTAACAGAAGTTAGTGTGCGTTTTAATCCACAAGCCACATAAGGGTTCTGTGGTGATTTCCGAATGTCAGAGGGGGTAATTCGCACCCGGCCCAAACCATAGTGATAAAGTGAAGTTTGCCCAATTATAAATAAACAACACAAAAATTTACAAATTCAGGGCGGTTCACAATTTCTATAAGCAAATTACAATCAAGGACTTCAATGTTCCAAGTTTTTTTTTTTTTCTTAGACAAACATGACTTTAGATAGACTTGGGCCACCTCAAAAGATCTGTATGTTACAACTTAGAACAAAGATTGAAGATGACTATTCTTGGTGGGCACACAATTTAGATTCATGTATCTTTCTTTGAAGTCCCATTTGGATCCATCAACATTGAACTTCAAAGAACCAAAACAATTCACATTAATTTGAACTTGACAAACAACACCCTTAAAAATTGTACCCCCCCTTGACCTTTTTATATTAGCTTCTCTAAGAATCTTAGCACCATTGCCTTGTCTATATAAGGAGACCACTTTGATGTTTTCTGTTTCTTTCTACAACTGATGACAAGAGATATGATACTGGGCTATTCTTTATTGTTCTTTTATTTTGTGCCAGGAAATAGAATAACAGACACTAACTACATAGGGGAGCTGATACTTTGATTTGGTTATGTTTGCTGATTGATAGAATAGTTGGAAACATGAAGATAATGTGTGGGCCAACTTCAGACATAATCACTCATCTTCCAGACAATGTAAAAGAAACAATCTTGATGTCTTTGCCATTACAAGATGCGGTGAGGACTAGTATTTTGTCAAGGAAATGGGGGTATATGTGGGCCAGACTTCCCCAACTTTTATTTGATGATAAGTTCTGCAGAGAATTGATCAGAAATCAGAAGAATAAACTTATGATGACTATTTATCAAGTTCTGTTACTTCATCGTGAACCAATACCCAAGTTCATACTCAATTTATCTAGACTGGAAAGTTGCCCGGAGATCAATCAGCTGATACTTTTCCTTTCAAACAATGGTATCTAGGAATTCGCCCTTCTGATTCGGAAGGGTGACCCTTATAAATTTCTGTCATCATTATTTTCATGTGAACAACTTAGGTATTTGAGTCTTCGTTCTTGTGTATTTAAATCTCCACCTGAATTTAAAGGATTTAGCAGGCTCGTTGAACTGGTGCTTTATAGAGTTTTTGTTGCTTCTAACACACTTTCAAGTTTAATCTCCAGTTACCCACTACTTGAGAAACTGTCACTTAAAAGGTCCTTCAGTTCAGATTGCCTTGAAATTAACGCTCCCAATCTTAGGTTCTTAGTATGTGAAATCTATGGCAGTTCTATTTGTTTAAAAAATACTGCTAGACTTGCATGGGTTTCAATTTGTTTTATGGGGATCTTTAATGTGGAAGGAATTACGGAAGCAGAAACTTCCAAATTGGTCACGCTTTTTGGTAGTCTACCTGTCATTGAGTTTCTGCTATTGGAGTATCATACTATTCGGGTAAGATTAGCTTAGTAAACAACTTCTTTTTTTTCCTTTTTTGTTGTTGTTTGGCAAGATGTTATAAGTAAGTCAACACATGTTTCTTTGATTTTTTTTTTTCTTCTTTTGCTTCTAGTACATGTCTGCAGGTGGTGTACCAAAGAGGCTTCCAACTACTTTGAACAACCTTAAAACTCTCAAGTTGTTGTCTATTTGTTTTGCGGAAGTAAATGAGATCTCAGTTATTCTTTGTTTAATTAGAAGCTCTCCAAACTTGGAGAAAATTACAATTGTGGTAAGAACAACAGATATTTTTATTTCTTATGTTTATAATGTATATTTTGAATCATTAGGCTGAGACACAATTCCATTTCCTTTTTTCCAGGTACGAAGGTGTGAAATTGCTGATGTTATTGATCATGTTCTACAACTTCTAGAAATGCAAGACTGGTCAGATGTCTCTTTAAATCAACTTCAAGCAGTGGAGTTGGGCAATCTATCTGGCACATAGCCTGAATTGAAGTTTATTGAGCTTCTATTAGCCATATCGATGGTGCTGGAGACAATGTTTATTTAGACTGACTCAGAGAAGGTTGCTGACAAAGGACTGAGAATTTTGGCAGAGGTGACACGATTTCCACGCTGGTCACCTCATGCATAAATCAAATTCGAATATAAAGATAAAGATCAAGTTTAGCAAATGGCACTACAGGAATTACCACTTTTGGCAACAAAAAAATTGGTCGCTAAAAGTCAATTTTTGGTCGGCAAAAGTTATCCGCGACCAATTTTTTTGGTCGCTACTTTGGTCGCCAATTGAGGATCGGCAAAAGTAATTCGCGACCAAAATTGTGGTTGGTCGGCAAAAGTTGGATTTCGCGACTAAATTTTTGGTCGCTAAATATTTAATTACCGCGAGTAATATATTTTGTCGCCAAAACACTTTGGTCGCGAAAAGTGATATTTTCCTGACCAAAACATTTGGTCGCCAATTATCACATTCAACGACCAAAAAGTTTGGTCGCCAATGGTGACATTCCGCGACCAAAAATTTTGGTCGCCAATCGTGACATTCCGCGACCAACAAAGGTTTTGGTCGCCATTTGTTAATTTTCACGACCAAAACTTTTAGTCGGCAAAAGTGAGTTTCCACGACCAAGAGCTGTTTTGGTCGGCAATAGATGTATTTTTTGCGACCAAAACTCTTGGTCGGCAATTGTTATTTTTTGCAAAAAAAAATAATTTATTTGTCACAACTACTAAATTGGTCGCCAAAGCAAGAAAACAATACACCTGTAATTCCTAATAATTCATTCAATCCATAATAAACCTATAATTTTAAAGCATCATTCAAATTAACTGAATCATTAACATTCGACACAATACATAATTCATTAACATTCGACACAATACAACTATTCTAAGTTTTCATTCACAAGTCACATCCATCTAGCATAACAAATTGAAACAATACATAATTCAGATTTACAGCATCAAGAAAATTGCTTAATCCACTAAGTTGCCTTGATAGCCAATCAAAAAGATCCTTGCGCCCTTCCGTGCCAAGCTTCGCATCCATCAAAGCAGTAGTGATGTAAGGCACCTAATAAAGAAGCATAATTGGAAAATTTATCAGAGAAGCATGATAGTGGCAGCAACACTGGATTGCAAACCTGTATCTTTGCAAAAATCAATTAAATCCTATAAACATGTACATCGAATTGAGACAACTAGCTAAGGGTGGGCGCGGATCGATTGCGGCCGCGGATCGATTGCGGCCACGGAACCTCTAATCCGCCATCCATCCGCCAGATTGGCGGATTGGAGAAAATCAATCCGCATCCGTCCGCCAATCCGGCAGATGCGGATTGAGCGGATGAGCGGATTGGCGGATAGATACGAATCGGTTTGGCGGTTTAAAAGTTTACAAATTTTCAACATAATTTAATTGTGTGCGCACTTCCTAAAAAAAAAAAAACAGGGCATAATTCAAGTTTGCATAATTTAATATTCAAGTGGGATAATTCAAGCGTGCATAATTCTGGTAGTGGCATAATTCAAGTGTGCTGTGCATAATTCCAGTGGGCATTTCTTAAACAACTTGGGCAATGCAAAAATAACCATGTGATGAATTGTTGCACCGAATTCCATCCCAACAGCAGCCAGAAATCCAAAAAAACTTGGTCAAATGAATTCCAAATGAATTCATGTGACCGCCACTTGGTCAAATGAATTTCATCCCAACAGCAGCCAGAAATGAATTGTTAAACAACTTGGTCAAATGAATTTTTGCATGAGGATTCAGGAATACAGACGTGAGAAACCAACAGCAGCCAGAAATCCAAAAAAAAAAAACAAAAAAAGAGGAACAGCTTTCTAGATCTCAGCCTCTTAACAGATTTCATTTGACCAAGAATTATTATTTCAAGGATTACCACTTCTGAATAATCAAGAACATTTGATATTTCGGTTAAAGAACTGGGACATCTAAAGCTTGCTCCCTAGTGACCCCAAAACTAGTATGCAAGTTGAAAACTTGATGCTAAATAAGACCTAAGATTTCTAGTTTCGGAAAGCAGTTAACACATAGTAGGAATGCAACTATGTATTCCAGAGGTGGGAAGGGATTCACATCCTTACATTGTGGAAATTATTCCCAGGTAAATTAGAAAACTCCAGACAGAAATGGCTTCTTATAACCCAGTCAAGGACATGCATTTAAAATCTCGCAGTGGTGAATCGAGAAGACCATAGCTAGGACCCTTCAACTCATGTTTCAGCCTATATTCAAACCCAGTCCCTATTTGAGTAAGGCTTTCCTTTGATTGCTGAAAGACCTGGGGCTAAAAATAAAAGTAAAAATGTATATTTATTCAAACTTTGAATCTCAAATCTTGTGTCATTTGGAAACCAAGAGAAGATAACATCCAGCAGTGGAGTGCAGATCATTTTAATTTTCACTATAAGAAACAACATAAAACACAATTTTTTATTTCATTTTTGTTTCTTCTCCTTTATCAGCGATCAACCCCACAATAAATGAGGTGTTAGAAAGAAACCATAAACAGGACTAGCATATACTTTGTGTTTTTGGAGGATGCATTAACTGATGAGCAGGGATGTATTCTTGATTGTATTAATCAAAGCAAGAAAGAACACATATTGGAGCCTCTCATATGCAGATATCATTCAACAATAATATAACTATTAACAATTTAGGCATAAGAATGGAACTTACAGTCATTATTCGTTTGTGCTGCTACAAGTAAAATTTGGACAGAAACAACCAGCAAACAGATCTGAATTCTTGAACCCATTATTCAAGAAAGAACCACAGAGATTCTTGAGCTCACTGAATTACAATGAAAACACTTCGCAACCACTCAATTCATTCCTTCAGTTCCTATTGTTCACTATAACTCTTCAATATAAGAAAGTTCTTCATGACTGTAATCAACATATGCATAGCTGCAATTAGAAACAATATGAAAGCACATGGATACACAAATTATTTGTTCAAGTAATTACAATACAACAATTGCAATCTAATTTTTCCTTCATAGAAAATAAATAAAACAGAATAAACAGCTGAAAGAGTTCTTATGCAAAGTATGCTGCCTCCAATTCAATAATGCAGATTCATATTAACCAGCCTTCAGTTTCTTTTCAATTGAATCAGAGGGAGAAAAGACCATAGATTTGAAAGGGTGGAGAAAAAAAAAAGAAAAGAAAAAACTATTACCTCATCAACTCGATCAAGAGCCCCATTGCCCTGCAACCAATGGCAAAGATAAATTTATAGTATCTAAAGAGTCTGTCAACAAAAAGAAAGGCATTGTAAGAAAAACATACAATAGAGTCCACTAATACCTCCTCAGCATCCTCATTATCATATATCGAGTATCTAAATGCTTGGCTAAGATTATTTGCTAAAGCTGCTACATCAAAATCTCTGTCATGAAGATCATCCTCATCACTATCCCTTGTCCTATCTTGCAATGCAGTTGGGCGCCTGTACATCAAAAAGAAAGAAAATAAATAATTATCAGGAAGTAAAACAGGCCAACAAATATTGGGAGCAGGCTACAAAAGGGAACAAACACAGAAAATACAACGATGGTGGGGATTTTTTTAGTTTAGTAATGTGGGATATCAAAATTTTACTACTGAATCTTGCCAATAGCCATGTCCCCTTCCCTCTTATGCAACTTTTATGATAAAGTGCAATGAACCTCAAATATTTTGGATGCAAAAAGTAGCAACCAGATGGGCTAAGTTTCATCAGAGCAACAAGCATCATCCTGTACTGTGCACTGATATCCTAATCACACTATGCATTAAAACACAATCATAAGCATACCCGCAAGCCCATCTGTAGACATTTTCCACAATATTACGCTCTTGTAAAATAGTAGTTTGCCAATCATTCCATTCGCTATTTTCCTGGAAAGCACAAGTGAGATTTTATCTCAGTCGAGAGATGTGTCCTCCATTCAACAGAACAAACAAAAGTATACTTGCTCAGTTTAGCCAACATAAGAAAATTCAATCTCTTTATCATACCAACGTTAGATTCAAGATACAGGAGAACCACTTCAAGCAGGCTTTTACAAGAACCAATTGTAATGAAAAGAAGGAAATTGAGACCTTATGAAGTGAGTCATACTTAATTGACAATCAAAAATAATCATTTGGATATTAATATACCCCTGTTATAGTCGCATTAGGAAGGAGTAAAAAATCAAGATGATGAACATATGAATTTTGTGATCATGTAGCTTACAGAAAATTGATGTCTTCCAGGGTTGTCAGTATCATCTAGATATGAAGATGTATCACACAATACGATCCAGATCTATGTCATTTCAATATGTATCTTTCTCACATATTGTAGGTACAACTACATTGCTAATACGGTGATCATGATCCTGATATACACTCAAATCGTGCATACACAGCAGAGTTAGGGTATTGTAGCAAACCATTTCTTTAACAATTGGCAATCCTATGTCCAAATCATCTCTTCCTCTTTATACTAGATCAACTCTCCACTACACAATCATGTTAAAAATATTTATTGTGTGGTACGATATAGAATTTGAGACAAGAGAATAGGACAAGATCGTGTAAAACTCTTCTGTTGGCAATAGTGTCATAAGTGTGGAGGATTTAAAGTTAGAGTGCTTGTATGGTACTAGCATATAAACTCGGATTAAAAATTCCACTATATTTTTTTAAAGTTAAAGTGCTTGTATGAATTTTTTCAAACCTTGGCAGTAGGACTATGCAAGTGCTTATAAAAATAAAAAATAACAAAGTGAAAAAAGGTAAGGAGCCTCATATTAATGATAACAACTTCATCTGATGGACCTGAGATAAATAATATACCTCTGAAAATGCATTCGAGTAGCCACAACAAGGTAACCAGGACCAGCTTGCTGCATACACAGCTGTTCAATGTCTTTACGTAACTTATCACGCTCTACAAAACAGTATCAACACATCAAATTAGAATGCAGCAGCTGAGAGGGGCAAGTGAATTAACATAACAAATAGTAAGCAACTTATAAGATTCCTGTGCATTGCATTAAGTTGGTAAACTATATAGTGCAATGCAGCACATCCTGCCAATGTCTCCATCCACTCAATTAAGCACAGGATGAAGAGACAAGTTTGGCTCAAAAGAAAACAAAATGATCAGGTTCCAAAATCAGTTATTGGAAAATATTTGGATTTTAGATATTTTGATTAAAATTATGAGAAGTAAAATGAATCAATAAATATTGAAATGAAAACCCTGGGAGGGCATCTAGTCTGGCTTTGGAGGCAGATTGAAGGTCCCAATTGTCTTAGAAGGCTTTTACAGCCTTTACAAAGTTGGAAACCAGATAACAAGTAATAAGTTCAATATTTGATGATGTTCTGCCTTTGCTATGCTTTGTCACTGGACCAAACAAAGCAATTGACGCATCTCTCAAAGGAACCCAACAGAATTCAACACAAATGAAGGTTATGTAATTACTTCTACTATATGGTTATGATGTAAACAAAAAACCTCAGTTTCAGACACATTAGAACAACATACCAATAACAGAACCCTAACAGAAACCTAAATTCCACATGAAAAACTTCAAAATCAAAAATCCAAGTGCTCTGTAGTCAAAGCCCCTAGTTTATTTCTATTGAATTGGATCGGATAGGATAATCAATAACCAGAATTTTTAAAAAATAAAATAAAATAAAATAAAATTCAATATCTTCATTGACCCTAAAGTAAAGATATGCCTGCATTGTATAGATAAACATCCAAACATCAATAATTGCAAAGCAACCCTCAAAGTATCAGGAAAACCCCAAGATCCAACAAAGAAAAATCTGAAGTAACCCTAATCAATAATCATCAGTCGCAGACAAAGATTTAAGAATTATAATTCGAAAATAAAACCCTAAATCCTGAAGTTACCAAAACCCTAGATCTGTAAATAACCTTTCTCAAATTCAACAAGCAATCAAGGGCCACATTAAAAAATCTAAAACAGCATATATATCCATTACACAAAAACACTCAAAAGCCATTAAGAGATTATCATGGTAAGGAAATATAACATAAGGGATTGGAGAATGATGAGAATGTGTTTATAAGAAAGGGAATAGAGAGGAACTGCAGTGCAGAGACCAAAAAGTCATCCAGTACACGAGCATATTTTTGCAACAAATCCTATAAGTGAGGATGTCAACATCACAAGATGAGATGCTAAGGGTTGATAGGAATATGACTCATGTCCCAAGATCCACTACCTTAAAAGGGGAAGGGTGTTGAGGGACTGGTGGGGGAAAAAGTTGTTCAGAGCAACTGAAATGCAAAGAGTTTTATGTTCAATGGTCATCCCTAGCAAAAACAAGATCATCATACAACAAAAGGCTATGCCTGATGCATGCTCACATCAGATTAGATGATAGGAGGTGTGAAGAAAAGTAATTACCATTAATTCCTTGCATGGCACCATTGACAACCTGCTGAGCAGCAACATCATAAACATGACGAGTAGTTGTTGCTGGACCAAACACTCTATCTGCAGCCAAAGATATATGATATTGTTCATAGGAAATCAAGGAGAACACAAACACTAATTACTGTCATGAAGAAAAAGTTAATAAATAAAATATACCCAAAGCATTCTAGACTTTAAAAACTTATTTCCACACAAGTACATCTTTTGAAGAGCAGAAGGTTTTCAATTCAGTGAGCAAATTGTTCTTCTCAACCCTACAAGGACATAAAATAGGAAAAATTATAGTAACAAAGGACTTGTAGCATGTGTGAGCCTCATTACCGAAGCTCGAAGAGCTTAATAGATAATGATGCATCGAGACAAGCAAGCATTACATGAGTCAGGAAAATTTGAGGCATGGAATTGCAAGTTGGGTATACAAATGACAAAAGATGGTAACAATTACATAATTTTCTAGTTGAATAACGAAAAATAAAGATACTTCATTGCTGATATGGATTTACACAACAAACAACACCCAATAACTTATTCCTCAACCAACAGTTTGACACCATGCCAATGTCAAGAGCTGCAGAAAACCATAGACTCTGCTTCCCTAAAGGCATGTAGAACATACATTACAAAAACTAAAACATGTATGGATCACTTGCAAATTAACTTCCTAATTTAGAGCCAATTCCCTTGCAAGCAGGTGTCTTTTAACATGTTACAGCCTATTTCCTTCAAGAACATACTTATTTTTCCAAACTATTATGCTTAGCAAATGTTCCACGTTATAGTTTATTATGAAGAGGACAGAACTCTAGCAACAATAGTATTTGATTGATATGGAAGTCTGGTTAAAGAGGAGAAAACATTGCACCAAAAGGATGTATAAAAGGGGCGAAATGGATATTCATGTCATGTCAAAGAAGTCACAATAGAATAATGTTTGCAGTAACAGAAAAGAGTTGCAGACATCTCCTCACTTGTTTCTCTCATTCAAAACCGTGCATGAGACTTTCATCTCACACTACTCCTAAGTGATAAAACAAAGAACTCGTCTTCTTTCTTTTTTGATTACCTTCCTCACGAATGTATAATAAGACCAAAGTCATTCAATTTCTAAAAAAGATTACCAATCCTTAAATACTGGTGTGTAAATACTGGTGTGTGTGTCACATAAAAAAGAAACAAACCTGGATAACACAGAGAATATCAGGGAGGTGATTTTTGGACTCATCAACAGGACCTGCATAGAGTTCAATAAATACATCAGGCATTAAGGGAGGGAGATAGACAAGCATTAATGGATAGCAAACATAACAAGTAATATACCAAGTAACACAAATAAGTGATGCGCTGGAGCATCCGCCATTAATTGTAGATCATTTGGAGAATTTTTGTAGTGCGAAGCAACATAGAGGGGGGAAATTTGTTATACTATGTTGCAAAACCTCGAAAAGATTTTCTTCCACCAAAAAGAGACCTTTAAAAAAATTCAGCATACTATGGGTACTATACTGTAGCTTCGCCAGGTATCAATGGCACCAAAAACTTGGCAGAGCTAATAAGCAGATATTGCAGCAGTCATACAATGAGGCATGGGGTCCTGGGGACTCATTTGATAATGAGACAGATCAAACTAGATGTGTCACATGATAATCAAAGGGAGAAAATTAGAAGTAACTATATCACACAACCTAAATCAGTGACATTAATTGAAATTCTAAAAAAAGCAGTATGAGATCCCAAGTCCAAGGAAAGATAATGAGTTCCTTGACTAAGTCAAAATCCCAGGGGATATGTCATTACACAACTTTTCTGACAACAAATATATGTTTTTGAATTCAAATGCATAGAAAAGCATTACCTCAATTCCACTCTGTAATCGATTTACTTGACTGATTATTGACAATAATCATAATAATAATAATAATAATAATAATAATAATAATAATAATAATAATAATAATAATAATAATAATAATAATAATAATAATAATAATAATAATAATAATAATAATAATAATAATAATAATAATAATAATAATAATAATAATAATAATAATAATAATAATAATAATAATAATAATAATAATAATAATAATAATAATAATAATAATAATAATAATAATAATAATAATAATAATAATAATAATAATAATAATAATAATAATAATAATAATAATAATAATAATAATAATAATAATAATAATAATAATAATAATAATAATAATAATAATAATAATAATAATAATAATAATAATAATAATAATAATAATAATAATAATAATAATAATAATAATAATAATAATAATAATAATAATAATAATAATAATAATAATAATAATAATAATAATAATAATAATAATAATAATAATAATAATAATAATAATAATAATAATAATAATAATAATAATAATAATAATAATAATAATAATAATAATAATAATAATAAAAGGGGAAACTCATATCCCACTTTATAATCGATTTTTGAGATACAAAAAAATTGAAGTAATAATTCTATGAATAAAGCATCAAATAATGAACTGTAAAGGCAGATTAAAGCTTATGGAAATTAATGCATCCAAAACAATAAACATGGGTTTTCAAGGAATAAAGCTACAGATGAGAGGTTAAAAGAGATTCGATACATATCACCAGCAGAAAATAACCAGGAAGAAATAGATTCCCCTTAAGCTCATTATTAAACCTGGATTACAAAATGAGAAAAGGGAGGATGAAAACCAATAAAGCTTTCTATGTGTTGTTTCTGTTCGATAAAATTCCTTGAAAACCTCAACACATTTCACCAAGAGAGAGAGAAAGGGAGGAAGTTAGATACGATAATCCCTCTCTTGATAATAATAATTGTGACATCACCCCTTCTTGGTATCAAAAGAGGCACCTCAAGTTTCATCAACTTGGTAAACTGCACCCAAAAAAACATGGAAAAAGGCATTTAGCATCGCTTGGTATTTCCTAAAAGCATTTTTGATGATGCAAAGTGATATGCCCTTAATATAGTACTATACGATCCATATTTAAACAAACATAGAAAACAGATAAATAAAATGGCAATTCTACAAGCATGTTTGGAAGCATGAAGACAAGTGCATTTTGACACAAATGGGTACCCACACATCCACATATATGCAATGATATCAACCAAATTACCATAGACAATATATTGAATTACACATTATACATTGACATAATATTGCGTTTTTTCCTTGCTTCCAAATGGGGCTTGTTGCCCATGTATGCCCTATATAGGCATTACAAGATAAAGAGAACGGCTAGCATGCATCGCTAGGTCATTCAATTGGATCCTTCTAGCATTGCACATGTTAAGCCTCAATCATATTAGCCCATTGTTTATAGTTTCACAACCCAAATGAGAATTTTCTCCTTAATTCTAAATTCTATTAAGCAGATTTCCCGGAAAAGAAAAGAAAAAGTAGTTTCTGTACTCATGTTATTTACAATTGAAATAAACGTTAATATCCTTCAAGATAATTTAATATGAGTTGTGCTCACCTTCACTCCAAGTTTGTTGCAAATATTTTCAGCAAGTAGAAGGGAATATGCGGAATGTTTGTCTGCCCTGGATGGATCTGAAGAAAGAATAATTACTGATAAGCTAGTTTAAGTGAATACAAATATTATGTTCCATTACCTCCAAACAGCCATTCTCTATCAGATATTACAGCGATTGACAAGGGAATATCTTCATTCTTCAAAGATTTTTGAATATTACTAATGGTTTCCTTTAAGACATCATAGTCCATGGGGTTCCCAATCTGTGAATATAAAAAATCATGACGGATTTGAAGGAATGTAAAGAAGGTATTCCAAACTTATATTAAATAGTAATAATAATAATCATAATAAAGAGAAGATGAAGACGAAGACAAAGAAGAAGAAGAAAGAAAGAAAGAACGAAGATGAATAGTTCTAACCATATTGATGAAACAGTACCCTGTGGGAAACCCGGACATTTTTGAGCTTGCCTTGACCAGCAAGGCTGCTTGCCCTGTTTCTGTCATCCATTGGCACATCTGACAATATTTCCTGCACATACATGGATCTTAAAAAATAAAATTTCAAGCAACATATTTAAAATCTAAGAACTTAATGTACGATCTAAGACATTAATATATCTTGTGTCTGATTTCAAAAGAGGTGAAAGCAAACCAATACAACAACAACAACAAAAAAGAAGAAGAAAAAGAAGTAGAAGAAGAATGAATGAATGATGATGTCATTCTATTGATGGCTGATGCAGATCCACATGTATCAAAAAACAAAAAAATGAGAACTCGGTATTCGGCCCAATGGACCAACTAATCTTATGAGATGTTTTATGCTATGATGCCTTAAAGGAAACCAAATTTATAAAAGTTTCCCCTTAATTTTAAAGCAACGAAATAAATTCTTATTATTGTATATGACCTCAAACAAAATAGCAGATATGATGAAGTTTCTTAAAGAACATTAGAACATACCAATACACTACCAGGTCCAAGATAATTATCATATTCTTCAATCATTTCTGCAACATCAGGGCGCCATCCAAGCAGTAGTATACATTCTTTTGGTCCTAGACTCCAATCTGATGCCTACAAACAAAACTCAACGTAAATATACTCCAAATCGTTGTTTTAACCATGAACTTAGCGAATCCAAGTCAGAAAACACTTACCTTGAGCCCTAGATCGATTTAGATCAGAGGGATTCGAACAATCTCGAAGATATACGCTCAAGAAAAGACGGAGAACAAGCTTTTCTACCTCAATTAACTTTGCATCTCCACCAAGGAAGACAGAAATTTACAGATCATATATAAAAATCGATTATACATAAGAAAAAATAATAATAATAATAAACCTTTTTCCCAACCCGATCTACCATGAAATTTACAGATTTATAAAAGCATAAACCTTTTGTCATACCTGATCTACCACGTATCTAATTTCAACCAGATCTAGCAAAAAATAGAACCAAAAAAGAGAAAGAAAAAAAATTATGAAATTACAGATCTAGAGAACAGATTTGATACCTTAAGAACCTGAGGAGCAACATCCCAACCCAAACGCGGTCTCTTTCTGGGACGACGATCCATGTCCGCGAGTGGAAACTCGATCACACGTTCCATCTCCATGATCGAACACAGATAGATCCAAACAGAGTTTAGAGAGAGAGAGATTTGCAGAGAGATCGAAGAGAGAAGAAGAGAATCGAAGAATGATAATGATCTGATCTGAGATGAATAACAGATCGAGATCAAGTTCGAGTTCGATGAAGAACAGCTAGAGCAAAGCCCTAGAGTGACAGAGATCGATGTTTGCCCGAGGAATGTAGATCGATGTTCGATTACGATAGAGAGGAGCGGTGTGTGAGAGACTGAGAGGGAGTGATGTCTGTGAGAGTGAGATATTAGTGTAAGACTGAGAGAGACGGACCATGACGGAGATACGAGTGTGAGAGAGTGAGATCTGTTAATTGACTTTTCTTTCTTCCTCTTTTTTTAAATGTAAAATACGCAAAACACTAAAAAATGGCGTTTTTTTAAAACGATGTTGTATAAACGTTGTTGTATGTCAATTTTCTTGTAGTGAATGTCGCGATTCACAATCGGAAACTCTACCTTGCGAGTGGGAGGATTGCGACTTGAAGACACTGAGAGAGAATGGGGGAGAGGCAGAAATCGAGGCCAGCGTCGGGAGCGAGCGCAAGAGGGAGGGTAGGAAAGAAGAACAAAGAGGGAGAGAGAGACAGAGAGGGAATGGGAGGAGACGAGTTAAACCAAATTACCCCAATCTGGGTTCGATTGATGCATCAACAGTGTGTGAAGTAGAAAATTACCCCAATCTAGAATTTTTTTTCTGAAATTTAATTCCCGCCCCACGTTTCAAATTTCTCCCCAAATTTTTGGCGACCAAACTTTCAAATTAGTCGCAAAAATAGGTTCTTTCGCCGACAAATTTTTTTAGTCGCCAAATCTCAATCAACGGCGACTAAAATATTAGTCGCTAAAAGTACTAATTTGGCGACTAATTTTTTTTAGTTGCTGAAAATAAGTTTTTCGCGACCAAATTTTTGGTCGCTAAAAAATATGTGACCTTCCGCGACCAAATTTGTAGTTGGTCGGCAAAAGTATACCACTTTCTGCGACCAACATATTTTTTGGTCGCCAAAATATAACCTTCTGCGACCAATAAAATTTGGTCGCCAAAATTAATGATCATTCGCGACTAATTAATATTTGGTCGCCAAACGTCATTTTTTTGCGACTAAAATTTTTTTAGTCGATAAAAGTAGTCGCAAAATGTGTAAATTCTTGTAGTGTGGTTTGTGTCCTTTTTGGCCGTCTTTGGTTTGAGTGGGACAGAGAGATGATCTTTTCTGTGTTCATCGTCTGATAGGTCCATTTTTAAAAATTAAAACGGCTAAGACATTTACTGAGGGAAAGTGGAACATCTTGAGGGCAAAAAATTGCTCTCCTTTTAGGTAAAATATAAGTTCTTCAACAATTTAAATTATATGAAATTTGGTTGAAATTTGGCCATGATGTTTGTGATTGTGAATTTAAGTGCCACTTTTAACTTTATATCAAGTTTACATTCCCTATTCCTCATTTCAGGTAATCAATTAGGCAGGAACTTGGCGTTGACACGGTGAAGTACACACTATACACAGTTTATTCTCCTCTTAAAGTGTTTTTGTTAGGTTTTATTTATTTTGACAGAAAATATTTTTTACATAATTTTTTCCAGAAGTTATTTTTGCAAAGAGGTGGGTTGGAGGCAGTGGCTGTGGTGGGTTCTGATGGTGTCAGTAGTAATAGTTTAGTTCAAAAAAATGTCTTTCATTTTTTTCGGAGTGGAAAATGTTTTCATCTAATTATGCTTGTTTTTTGTTGAAAATATTTTCTATTGACTTTTGTCTTTTTGTTATTTTAAATGTCAGAATATGCACAATATATATATATGTATATATATATTCTTTGGCAATTTGAGAGTATGGTAAAAAGTCAGCTTTTTAGCTTTTCAGCTTTTTTACACAAAAAAAAAAAACCACAAAAAATCAGAAAAAAGCCAATTTTTTTAGCAAAAAAAATCAAAAAAGCTAAAAAAGTCGGTTTTTTATCAACTTTCCAAAAAACCACTCTATCCAAACAAACGCAGTTTTAGTTGTTGTAACTTTCTATTTGTTAGGATTATATATGTTCCCCTGTTTTTAAAGCTTATGGTACTATACAACTTTTGCATGGTTTGGTTTGCCATGAATCACGTGGAAAGTTTATGATGATGACTGACTGAAAAAACACAATTTTGGCAGTGCCATAGTTGAAGTGTTAGATTTACATTTGAATGACATCTTGGGTTGAACACTTCCTGCAAATCCTTCTCACTTTTTAAGCAAAAAATACATAGAAAATGACGTTTTGCATAAGTTTTTGTTGTCGCAAATAATTTTTGATGTTGGCGAGACAAATGATCGCAAAAAAAGGCAACCAATGCAAATCACTATTAGAAAAAAGAGTTTTATGCTTTCAACTTTTTTGTGTCATTCTCTTTTGCCATCACAATTTTTATTTTATTATTATTATTTATTTTTTTTTTTGCATAAGCGGGACAAATGGTCTCCCAAAAAATACTATTCATGATGGCAAAATAAGTGGAAAAGAAAAACACACACACACACAACTATTTAGAGTTTAAAAAATTTCTTTGAAAAACATTCATCTTGTTTGGTTTTAGTTTTCAAAAAAATCTACTTTTTTTATTTTTCCTATTTTAATGTTTTCAATAAATTTTTTTAATATTTTAAGTAAACTTTTTTTAATTTTAGACACACCTAACATAAATACAATTAAAAAGTATAATATTTGAGAATTTGTTTTTAAAAAAATGCACTAAATACCAAAAAATATAAATAAAAAAAATACGAAAATTTAGTATATTTTTCTTATTTTTGTGTATTTATTAATTTTTTAAAATATTATTTTACAAATATTTTACTATTTAAAAAAAATTCAATTTTCAAAAAACTAAATTGAAGAAACTAAAACTAAACACACTAATTTGTGTTCCTCACTTGATTGAGCATAGTACCTTTCTGGTTCGATGTTTCCCAAACTCAAGTGCTCTTTGACTGGTAGTCAACTCAAGTTCTCTAACGACTGGCCTGTTGAGAGGGATAACGTGATTCAAATCTTAGCAATTGTTTAGCAACTCAAACAATTGCGATAAGCTTGGGTTACAAATCCAACTCCCACTAATTTAGACAAACTCTCAACCTGTCCAAACTTTCCAAAAACTTAAAAAAGGAAAAAGATCAATTCAAGTAGATTAATTCCAAATCCGAAAGTATTTAGTAGAATTTTAGAATTATAATCTGATAATAGAATTGTATTTTGAGTTTGTAAGTTTTAGAATTATGATTTGAAAAAATAAAATTTGTTTCGTTTTGAGTTTTGAATTGAGTTTTAGAATGAGTTTTGAAATTAGAAAAGTTATTTGATTAAAAAACTTACAACTCATAACCAAACA